GCTCCCATGAGACGCGGGCACTCGGGGGTTTAGGGTTTAGGGTTTAGGGTTTAAGGTTAAAGGTTTAGGGTTTAGGGTTTAGGGTTTAGGGCTTATTCAGGCTTGAGGTTTCTGGCAGCCACATGAGATTGGCAGGATGCCTCCTTATCCGGATTTGTTCGTATGAGAGGCTGCCATGAGACGCGGGCACTTTGGGGTTTAGGGTTTATTTAGGGTTTAGGGTTCAGCGTTCAGGGTCTAGGGTTTCGGGTTAAAGGTTTAGGGTTTAGGGTTTAGGGCTTAATCAGTTGTGAGGCTTCTGGCAGCCACATGAGATTGGCAGGATGCCTCCTTATCCGGATTTGTTCGTACGAGAGGCTGCCAAGAGACGCGGGCGCTTTGGGGTTTATATAGGGTTTAGGGTTTAGGGTTCAGGGCTCAGGGTTTAGGGTTTAGGGTTTAGGGCTTAATCAGGTTTGAGGCTTGTGGCAGCCACATGAGATTGGCACGATGCCTCCTTTCACGAGGCCTTTTTTTTGCATGGGCAGCATGAGCCCGGAGCACGAGTTCGCTGGAAAAACGAGAGATCTGGTTTTAGTAAACCTTCAACCCCAAACCCCAGCCAGAGAGAGAGAGAGAGAGAGAGAGAGAGAGAGAGAAGCAAGCAAGCAAGCAAGCATGCGAGCGTGTCGAGGACCTGGCCATGTTCCGGTCCCTCATGCGAATGAGGGGTGGAGGATCCGATTCCGATGAGGAGACACTTCCCTCCATAGAGTCGGCTGAGCCGCAGCCGCAGCATGAGCAGGCTGCGAACGAAGCTGTAGAGGAGCTGCCTGAGGATGAGCCTCAGGTGCATGAGCAGGGTGCGAACCAAGCTGAAGCAAAGAAGCTGCTTGAGGATGAGCCTCACATGGCTCAGCCTGACCATGAGAGCCTGGCCGCAGCCATGGTGAGCGTGTCAGATGACGACGATCTGAGTCCTCGCATGACACCTGAGAAGGTGCTCCTCCGTGATGAAGACATGAGAACGCCCAAGCGAAAGCTTTCCTTTGGCGAGGAGTCATCAGGATCGAGGATGAGCACGCCAAAACAGTATGGCATCGCTCGTTGGTTTTCCTCACCCGCATCCAGTGAAGCATCTGCGCATGAGCAGGGGCCCCTTCTGACAAGTCTTGAGGTGGCGCCGACCCTCCCTCCCATGAAGAGGAGGCCTCGCATAGAAGACACCATCAGAGCACTGGCAAGGAGTGGGCAGCTGACTCTGCATGGCTCACCCGTGACTCTGAGTGAGGATGCGGTCGAAGGGATGAAGGACCAAGTTGTTCGCGCCATGGGTGGTCGTCCGCACATGCCCGCTTCTGAGCGGAGAGGCGTCGCTGGAGGCGAGAACAGAAGCAACAGGAGGCGCGGCCATGAGGCGCCCAAGAAGCATGAGCTCACCCTGGCAGCGAAGCATCAGCTGTGCAGCAAAATGCATGCTGGCCGTGAGCAGTTCGCATCGGAGTCGGAGCTCCTTTCGCATTATGCCAAAGCTTGGAAGATGAGACGAGATACTCTGAGAGCTGTGTGGGCTGGTCGCAGCACATGGGCCGAGGCTGTGAGCAAAACCAAAATGAGGTCATCCAGCTACACAAAATTGGCGACAGCGGCAGGAAGTCGCAAGGCCGATCGGAAGCGGGCCATGGGCGGTGGGGCGAAACGCCAGTTTGGGCACATTGTGGATGCAGTGGGTGAGTGGCTGCAAATGCAAAGGTCCCATGGGCACACTGTGCTGCAAAAGCATCTGGCTTGGCGCTACCATGAGCTGCTTCTGGAGGAAGAGCAGAAGCTCAAGGATGAGATCGAGGCCTGTGAGGATGATGCCAAGAAGAGAGCATTGGCTCGGAAACAGCATGAGGCCAGAGTGCAGGCTGAGAACCTCATGAAGTCGGAGAGGGCCATGTCGAAGCGAGGCAAGACATTGGTGGACTGGTTGGGTGCCAAGAACATGACCCCGAATGTGAAAACTCAGCTCACATCAGTTGAGATGCAAATCCGGGCAGAGCTGAGTTGGCAGAACCATGACCATTTGATGAGCCTTGTGAGCAAGTTCGACCTGGAGACCATGAGGAAGTACATCGCAAATCCCAGTGAGGTGACTGAGACAGTCCGACATGGCTGTGTTCTGGGGTTTTCTGATCAGATCCCCATTTGGATACGCATGGGAAGCAAGAAAGAGGTGTTCAGCCGGGATGAGCATGAGCAGATGCCAATTGCAGAGAAGCGACGGAAGGTGCTCCTGTTTCTCTGTTCCGCTTATTAGCTGCGATGACTGCGATGACTGCGATGACTCCTACTACTACTACTACTACTGCTACTACTACTACTACTACTACTACTACGACTACTACTACTACTACTACTACTACTACTACTACTACTACTACTACTACTACTACTACTCCTGCTGCTGCTGCTGCTGCTGCTGCTGCTACGACTACTACTACTACTACTACTACTACTGCTACTACTACTACTACTACTACTACTACTACTACTACTACTACTACTAGTACTGCTGCTACTACTACTACTACTACTGCTACTACTGCTACTCCTACTACTACTACTACTACTACTACTACTGCTACTACTGCTGCTACTGCTACTGCTACTGCTACTGCTACTGCTACTGCTACTGCTACTGCTACTGCTAATGCTAATGCTAATGCTACTGCTACTGCTACTACTCACACTACTTACGACTACGACTGCTGCTACTGCTACTGCTACTAAACTGCGACTGCTTTTTCCACTGCTACAGGTTCAAGGAGCTTCTTTTCTCCCCTTTATCCTCAAAACAAAAAAAAAGGAAGGCGTCAACATCTACGACGTTCGGCCTGGACTTTGCCACGTCAAACGGAGCAGATGCTAACGCCTCCACCAAAATCAGGTCCCAAAAATGCCGAGGGTCGGGCTGCGTTCTCACGAAGCCTGTCCGTCCGCAGAAGGCGCAGGTCGCATCCTGAAGACACATGCTTGTGCACTAAGCCAACTGTCCTCTCCCCCCCCCCCCTTTGGGGCTGAGCAGGTGCCGCAAAGAGCCATTTCAAATCACAAATATTGATTTAAACGACATTAAGGCCAGCAGCAACACGGAATTTGTGGCCGAGTGGCATAGCGACTGGGCTTGTGACCCGAGGCCGCAGGTTCGAGGGTTCGAACCCCGGAGGCCGCTTTGCCTTTTCCGGCCTTGCTCCCAGTGTGCTTTTAGGAGCTTCTGTTGTTTTTTTTAAAACTCATTTTTCTTCTAATACTACTAATTAATTATTACTACTACTACTACTACTGCTACTGCTACTGCCTGCTAATTACTGCTACTACTGCTACTGCTACTGCTACTGCTACTGCTACTGCTACTGCTACTGCTACTGCTACTGCTACTGCGCGCTGCGACTGCGACTGACTGCTCCTGCTACTGCTACTGCTACTACTACTGCTACTGACTGTTTCGTTAGGGTTTGGGGCTTTACTTAATTAGGGTTTTACAACTCATGCAGTCAGCTTGCTCGTCACGATCCATCTCTTGCTCGTATTAGGCCCAACTGGCCTATATGTGGCAAGTGTTTCTGCCAAGTGCACGAACTCCTCCGGCAGCAAGTCATCGATAAGGGTTGCAGACACTCTTTCTTCAATGGCAGGGCTGTTGAATCGTGCCCGCCCTTTCCGTTGAAGCCGACCTGCTCAGCCCGAAGCCAGTTTGTTGACAGACAGCTTCAAAGTAAGAAACTGCTGGTAGAACATTTGTAATCAAGCATGCTGTATCATGCCTGCAGCGATCCGCCAACGCATTCGATACGTCACGACTAGTAAATAATTACTACTACTACTCCTTGCACTTACTCCGACTGCTGCTCACTGCTATTGCTAATTACTGCTGCTACTGCTACTTGCTGCTTCTGGTACTGCTACCTGCCACTGCTCCTGCTACTGCTTCGGCTAGTCCTGCTAGTGCTTCTGCTGCTGCTGCTGCTACTCACTGCTACTGTTCTCGGGCTAGTTGCTCCTGCTACTACTGCTCACAACAACAAAAAAAAGAGCGCCTTCAGGACTTGCACGGCTGCTTCGCCTGAAGGTGCATCCGACCTGCAGGGGGGCGAGACAAGTGCCACTAGACAAAATCAACCCTGCAGAGCAATGGGCCTTGCCACTCAGGGTCGATTTAGTCTAGTGGTGCAGCTTCTGTCCTGCTGCAGGCAACAGCCAGACGCCTCCAACAAGCCAACCGGCACGGCCTCGAGCGTCAACCCCAGCTTTTTGTTTTCAATCTCCCCGCAGCGAGTGGTTAAAGAGACAAAGACTAATTAAGGCTTCAGCAAGCCTTCTCCTGCTACAACAACAACTGCTAGTACTGCTTCTTCTACTACTATTGCTACTACGACCACTACTTCCTACTACTACGCTGCTACGACTACTACTACTACTACCTCCTGCTACTACTACTTCTTCTTCTACTCCTACTACTACTCCTACTACTACTACTACTACTTCTACTACTACTTCTACTACTTTTTCAACTACTGCTACTACTACTACTACTACTACTACTACTACTACTACTACTACTACTACTACTTCTACTGCTGCTATTACTACTACTGCCACTACTACTACTACTACTACTACTACTACTACTACTACTACTACTACTACTACTACTCCTACTCCTACTCCTACTCCTACTCCTACTCCTACTCCTACTTCTGCTGCTACTGCTACTGCTACTGCTACTCCTTCTCCTTCTCCTTCTCCTTCTCCTTCTCCTTCTCCTTCTCCTTCTCCTTCTCCTACTCCTACTCCTACTCCTCCTTGCTGCTTCCTGCTGAATGATTGCCACGTTTGAACAGGTGGCCCTGAGCCTGGCTGAGACTGCCAAGACGAAGGGCATCAGTGGACCCACGCCGGATGAGTCTGCCGAGGCTGCGCAGGGCAGTCCGGATGAGTCAGCAGAGCCTGTGAATGAGCAGGAGTGGGAGTTGGCCATGCCAGAAGATGGGAAGGCCAGGCACATGACGGTGCGAAAGCAAGAGAAAGCCGATCGCTATCGCATCACATTAGAAACTCATCAGCTGGTCACCGGCTTCATGAACCCGGATGAGGTCCCGCAAGGGCATTGCTTGAGGTCCATCCTCATAGTTCCAGGACGGGAATATGGGCATGAAAACTGAAAACATTGCTTGAAACACATTCGTTTCTTCAACAAAAGTCAGTAAATCACTTTCTAATTAACTCCGTTTGTGCTGCGCAGCAGGAGCCCATGCCGACTTGGATAACATCACTCCTGATGGGAAATGGAAAGAGAATGAGGAGTACTATTACAATGGGCAATGGCGCAAGCATGTGAAGGACATGAGTGTGGGGCGCGCCCTGGAATCATGGCGGAAGCTACGTGAGCGTGAGCCGCATCTCCTTCGCCATTTCCGGGTCATGTCACAACCTGCGTCCAACTGCGACGGCATCATCATGAGCTGGATCATAAAGAGCCAAAGCAGGCAGTACGGCATGAGTGTCTGGCAGCGTGATTGCCTGGGCGCGGCGTTCACGGATGAGAATGTGAAGGCAATGAACATGGCTCATCAGATCCAGGCCACCATCGCGCCGGGCATGACGTCAGCGTTGCAGTTGACGGACACTGACGTGAGTCATCAGGCAAGTTTTGGGATTAATGAGGGGCCATCCATGTCTAATTATATTTTGGGCTTTTCTTCTTGAGACTTGGGACTCTTTGTCGCTCAGTTACGTTTCAGGGAACATGAGCAGAGGCCCGCACTAATCGAGGGCCATGAATTAATCGGGTGGGCCGGGGGCCAAAAAGGGGTACCCTTGGAAACCTTGAAAAAATGGTTTTTTAGATGGATTTTCAATTGCAAATCATCGCTTTCTGGCGGCTTAGGATTTCTACTTTTTGGGCCACAGGAAGCTTGTAGCTGGCTTTTTTCCCGGGGTTCCCGGGCCGAGGCCCGCATTAATCGAGGGCCACGATTAATCGGGTGGGCCGAGGGCCAAAAAGGGATCCCTTTGGAAACCTTGAGAAAATGGTTTTTTTAGATGGATTTTCAATTGCAAATCATCGCTTTCTGGCGGCTTGGGATTTCCTAATTTTTGGGCTGCTGCTTCCTTTGGGAGACAGAAGCTTGTAGCTGGCTCTTTTCCGGGATTCCCGGGCCGAGGCCCGCACTAATCGAGGGCCACGAATTAATCGGGTGGACCGGGGGCCAAAAAGGGATCCCTTTGGAAACCTTGAGAAAATGGTTTTTTTAGATGGATTTTCAATTGCAAATCATCGCTTTCTGGCGGCTTGGGATTTCCTAATTTTTGGGCTGCTGCTTCCTTTGGGAGACAGGAAGCTTGTAGCTGGCCAAAAAGGGATCCCTTTGGAAGCCTTGAGACAATGTTTTTTTAGATTTTCAATTGCAAATCATCGCTTTCTGGCGGCTTGGGATTTCCTAGTTTTTGGGCTGCTGCTTCCTTTTGGGAGACAGGAAGCTTGTAGCTGGCTCTTTTCCGGGATTCCCGGGCCGAGGCCGGCACTAATCGAGGGCCACGAATTAATCGGGTGGGCCGGGGGCCAAAAAGGGATCCCTTTGGAAACCTTGAGAAAATGGTTTTTTTAGATGGATTTTCAATTGCAAATCATCGCTTTCTGGCGGCTTGGGATTTCCTAATTTTTGGGCTACTGCTTCCTTTTGGGAGACAGGAAGCTTGTAGCTGGCTCTTTTCCGGGATTCCCGGGCCGAGGCCCGCACTAATCGAGGGCCACGAATTAATCGGGTGGGCCGGGGGCCAAAAAGGGATCCCTTTGGAAACCTTGAGAAAATGGTTTTTTTTAGATGGGTTTTCAATTGCAAATCATCGCTTTCTGGCGGCTTGGGATTTCCTAATTTTTGGGCTACTGCTTCCTTTTGGGAGACAGGAAGCTTGTAGCTGGCTCTTTTGCGGGATTCCCGGGCCGAGGCCCGCACTAATCGAGGGCCACGAATTAATCGGGTGGGCCGGGGGCCAAAAAGGGATCCCTTTGGAAACCTTGAGAAAATGGTTTTTTTAGATGGGTTTTCAATTGCAGATCATCGCTTTCTGGCGGCTTGGGATTTCCTAATTTTTGGGCTGCTGCTTCCTTTTGGGAGACAGGAAGCTTGTAGCTGGCTCTTTTCCCGGATTCCCGGGCCGAGGCCCGCACTAATCGAGGGCCACGAATTAATCGGGTGGGCCGGGGGCCAAAAAGGGATCCCTTTGGAAACCTTGAGAAAATGGTTTTTTTAGATGGATTTTCAATTGCAAATCATCGCTTTCTGGCGGCTTGGGATTTCCTAATTTTTGGGTTGCTGCTTCCTTTGGGAGACAGGAAGCTTGTAGCTGGCTCTTTTCCGGATTCCCGGGCCGAGGCCCGCACTAATCGAGGGCCACGAATTAATCGGGTGGGCGGGGGGGCAAAGCAAGCCGAGGGCTTGGGTTTGTTTGTAAGCTTTCTCTTTTTTTTGATAGCAGTCGCTCCTCGCACTGGGTTTAGGTCGACCCAACTCAATCTGCCTGCAGGTCAAGGCGCACATCAGGCGGTCCATCGATGAGCAGACCATGCAGCATAAGCCAGAGCCTGGAGATGCTGGCCATGTCTTCCAATGTGGCATCCGTGAGATGGCGATTGCCTTGGACAAGGCATTGGAGGCCATGCACAAGCGCAACGATGAGACTGATTTCGTGCTTGCTGGTCTTCGCAGGAATGGGTTTCTGGCATTGCGGCCGGACAAGCATGGGCGTATGAAGACTTGTGACCATGAAGACTGGGCCGCCGACAAGCCCTTGGGCTCCAACAGGGTCCATGAGAAATGGCTTCGCAATCGATATGTGCATGTTCACGATGAGGGCGCAAGGATTGAGCCGCCGAATTGGGAGAGGATCCATGGGGCCAAAGAATTGGCCGATGTGGTGTATTGGTCATACACCGAGGACATGGGCGCCATGGGATCAGGCACGGCATGCGACATGGAGGTGTGTTTGGGCGATGAGCCTGAGTGGCAGCAAATGGCGCAGTTCCAGCTCCCTTTGAGCATGAGACGCGCCATGATGCTCCGAGAGCACAACATGAGCGAGCATGTGAAGAAGAAACGTGACAGGCGGGCCATGAAGCAGCGGCAGAGGAATGAGGGTCGTGAGGCCACGAAGAAAGTGAGGGAGGAGGACCGTGAGGCTCTGAGGAGTGAGCTCCAGCAGAGATCCAGGCATGCCATCCTCATGGCCATGCCTGCCGTGGCATCAGTGAGAGGGCAGGCTCCCATGCATAAGAAGAAGAAGATGAGCCAAATGAAGACAGACAAGAAACAGTGCATGAAGGGCATGAAGAAGAGCTTCCTCACGAAGGCTGCCATGAGTTTGAAGAAAAAGCAGCAAGCTGAAGCAGCTTCGCATGAGGCAGCTTCGCATGAGGCAGCTCCTCCCTTGCCTCCGCCCGCAGCTCCTCCTGCGGGACATGGGGCAGAACGTGAGGCGCTGCCTGCCGGTAAATACCGCGTGACAGATGAGGCCTGGCAGGGGGGGGGGGGGGGGCGGTCAGTTCAATTCCATGCCTAAGTGATGACTCAAATCGCAATAATTAAGGAACAGTAATTCTTTGACATTCCGGCTGTGAAGGATGCTGGCTTCAGCTCATACAGCCGTCAGGGCACAGTCATGTCGGTGGGCGAGGAGCAGTGGCTCATGCTACTTGAGAAGGACATGAGAAACCACCTGGAGAAAAAGCAGTGGGTGGCAAAGGAGCACTTGACTGCGGTGTCTGGCAATGAGCCTACCTGGAAGTGGCATCAGCTCAGCTTCACGCGAGCCATGAAGCAGGAGCGATGATAGAGAGAAGGAAGAGAGGAAGGGAGAGAAAACAGAAGAAGAGAGAGAGAGAGAGAGAGAGAGAGAGAGAGAGAGAGAGACAGAGAGGGAGGGAGAGTGTGTGCGCGGGCACGCCAGGACATGCTGCATGAGGTTGGCCTGCTAACTGACGATGTCGACCGCATCCGCCATCTGGATGAGATGCAAGTGCTGCCATTGGAGAGCGTCCCTACCGGTGGCATAGAGCTGCAGTACATCCACTTTGGATGGCATGTCCTGACGTGGAACCTGAAAAAGATGGGCATCGACATGAGCAAGAAGGTTGCCATGATCTCCAGCGCCATCACCCGCCCATTGTTCCTTGCATTGCAGGATAGCCGGGTGGACATAGACGTGTTCAGGGATCTGGTCACGACGCAGATGAGGGATGCCAGGCTGTACCTCCTGCCGCTATGGCACGCGGGGCATTGGACATTGCTCGTGGTGGATCGGCTACATGGGCCGCCTGGGTCATGTGCGATCAGGTACTATGACTCCCTGCCGGATGAGAGCGTCCGATGCCGGGAACATGCGAGTGAGCTGCTGGGATCACTCTTGTCATTGGGCCTGCTTAGCGAGGCCTCGACGCATGAGGTGCCTGTGAGGTCCAACAAGGTGCAGCAAAAGGCAGATGAGTGTGGATTCTTCATTCTGGCTTACATGGAGCAAGAGGCTGCAGCAGCACATGGGTTTGGCCCTGCTGCCATTGGTTGGGTGCCGCTCATGGCCCGCAATTGGCATGGCCGATTGCATAGGGTGGGCACCCAGCTGAGTGCTGAGCGCATGAAGCGCATCCATGAGCTGCATGACCTGGATAAGAAGCATGTGGCTGCTGGTGCCAAGATGAGGGCTGAGCGTGCGAAATTGGCGGCCGTGGCTGAGAAGCGGAAAGCCAAAGATGAGACGCTGAGCCACTTGCAGCAGATGGCATGGGACATTGAGCATAACAACCGGCCATTGAGCCTGGATGACATGCCACATGAGTGCCATGTGCAATTGAGCAAGATTGCAGGCTCATCCATTGGCATATGTGCCAGATGCCATTGGAGGAGCGGATGCTTGAGCTGCTCCCGTGAGCACTGCATTGGCTACTACATGAGACGTGAGGGAAAGCGTCTGGGCAGAATCGTGCCTGAGCAGTATCGCCTCTAATGAGCTTAATCCTGAACCCGGGATATAGCCCACGTAATTTAAGCCTAATTAACGCCCGTAAGAAGAGTGAGCCAGAAGGCCGTGAGCGTGAGGCGATGCTTCTGAGGCACGATTCTGCAGCATGGCTGCGAGGATGAGGCGATGCTTTCGAGGCACGATTGTGCGCGCTGCAGTGTGAGTGCCAGCAGCCAAAGAAACATGGGGAATGTGTTACTGTGGGGGAGACTGAACTACTTGCTTTTGAGGTAATAATTCATCATTCAGCAACCGCTGAATTAATTAGGGTTTAAGGTAGAATTAGTGTTTGGGGTCGGGGCTCAGGGGTTGGGTTTTAATTGATGAAGGTCATTTTGAGCTCAGAGGCTTAGTTTTCGGTTGGGCAACGGGGTTCCTTTTGCAGCATGAGTGGCAGCCACGCCTGCAGTCTGGTGAGAGCATCAATGGCAGGCATGATTGTCTCTGCTGCGAGCGCATGGCAACCACATGTTTGCCCGCAGCTTTTCATGAGATCACCCGCTTAGCGAATGAGAATCAGAGTGAGCGCAGCATCTACTTTGCTGCTGGACATGACGCCTCGGCAATGCGCTGATGAGCTGGCCATGCTCGCGGGCTTCGTCAGGAGCATGCCATGGACCCTCAGCTTCATAAGAGACCTGGCTTTCTACCTGGGCCTTGATGAGCATGATGACAGGTAGGGCATGGGCAAA